TCTAATATCTCTACGACACATCTGAGTCTCAAGCGTCCCTTCCATCCGAGTCCCCTCGTTCTATTGTTATTCATTGTAAACTTTTCCTATGTTTCCACGTTATCAATTCCTCTAAGTATTTTATATGTCTGTATCATGGGATGGGAGCCGGTCGGCCGAGCGGACAGCACGCTGGACTTGTGATCCTGTGGTCCCGGGTTCGATCCCGGGCGCCGGCGAGATACAATGGGCAGAGTTTCTTTCATCCTATGCCCCTGTTACCTAGCAGTAAAATAGGTACCTGGGTGTTAGTCAGCTGTCACGGGCTGCTTCCTGGGGGTGGAGGCCTGGTCAAGGACCGGGCCGCGGGGACACTAAAGCCCCGAAATCATCTCAAGATAACCTCAAGATAACCAAGATCATGTCCCCCCTCTCCCTCCTCCTTTCTAACGTTGTCAGGTTTATAGTTCCTTCAGTCTGTCGTCGTACCTCATCCCTCTCAGCTCTGGGACGAGTCTCGTTGCAAACTTCTGCACTTCTTCGAGATTCCTTATGTGTGTTTTTTTAAGATGCCGCACCACTCCACGATGGTGCGGCATACTTTAAGACTGTCCTCACATAGGCGGTATACAAAAGCCTCCTTATTCAAGTTTCTAAAGGATGTTCTGACTTTTGCCAGAGTAGAGTATGCCGCTGATGATATTCTGTTTATATGAGCCTCTGGTTTGGTGTTGTGTCCATTCCCAGGTCTTTTTCTCTAGTCGTTATAGGGGGGTAGTTTCCCTTCATTTTTTTTATTATTATTTTCTACCACAGACGTGGCCACACATTTACAATGCTAACCAGCATATATACATTTTCTTCTGTCCTCCATGGACAGGGTTAGAGATGTGTTAAACATATAGTTCAGGGGTTTATTGAACAATCAACCACAGAAGGTGCTTCCCTTCATTGTGTATTGTCCTTTCGGTCTCCTGGCTCCTGATCCCACTTCCATCACCTTGCACTTGCTGGTGTTGAACTCTAGCAGCCATTTATTAGACCAGCTCTACAACCTGTTCAAATCATCCTGGAGAATCTTACAGTCCTCATCTGTCTCAATCCGTCTTATGCATCATCTGCAAACATTGACATAAACGACTCAACTCCTGCAGTCAAGTCATTTACATAAATGAGGAAAAGTATGAGACCCAGCACCGATCCTTGAGGCACTCTGCTTGTGGGTCTGAGACGCCAGTCGGACTCCTCGTCCCTCACTGTCACTCTCTGACACCTGTCTCTCAGGTAATTCCTTACCCATGGTAGTGCGTTGGCGTCTACTCCCGCCTGCCTCTCAAGTTTGTATAATAGTCTTCTGTGTGGTACTGTATCAAAGGCTTTTTGGCAGTTCAGCAATTTGCAATCTTCCCATCCTTCTCTGTCTTGTCTTATTTTCGTTACCTTATCATAAAACTCCAGAAAAGAGGTGTCTGGAACAGGTGGGGAAGGATGAGAGGTGTCTGGAACAGGTGGAAAAGGGGTGAGAGGTGTCTGGAACAGGCGGAAAAGGAGTGTGGGGTGTTTGATGCAGGTGAGAAGTGCCGAAGAGCGTTTAGACCAACTTTATGTGCAGACCTGGAGAGCGTACTAGCATCTTTTACTGTTTGAATCCTCTAAAAAAACATCAAAATTATTGTTCCCGATTTTTTTTTTAATCTGTATTCTCTTGAGCGCAGGCGGGAGAGGTACATAATAATTTACACGTGGACAATAGTAGAGGGGCTGGTCCCAAACCTGCACACAGAAATAACAGCTCATAAGACCAGAAGACATGGCAGGATGTGCAGAATACTCCCGTTGAAAAGCGGAGGTGCAACAAGTACTCTGAGAGAGAACTATCAACATCAGAGGCCCGAGACTGTTCAACACGCTTCCACTACACATAAGGGGCATAACTGGCCGACCCCTCACAGTGTTCTAGAGAGAACTATCAACATCAGAGGCCCGAGACTGTTCAACACGCTTCCACTACACATAAGGGGCATAACTGGCCGACCCCTCACAGTGTTCAAGAGAGAATTAACACGCTCAACATCAGAGTGTTCCCAACATCAGAGACTGTTCAACACGCTTCCACTACACATAAGGGGCATAACTGGCCGACCCCTCACAGTGTTCAAGAGAGAACTATCAACATCAGAGGCCCAAGACTGTTCAACACGCTTCCACTACACTTAAGGGGCATAACTGGCCGACCCCTCACAGTGTTCAAGAGAGAATTATCAACATCAGAGGCCCGAGACTGTTCAACACGCTTCCACTACACATAAGGGGCATAACTGGCCGACCCCTCACAGTGTTCAAGAGAGAACTATCAACATCAGAGGCCCGAGACTGTTCAACACGCTTCCACTACACATAAGGGGCATAACTGGCCGACCCCTTACAGTGTTCAAGAGAGAACTATCAACATCAGAGGCCCGAGACTGTTCAACACGCTTCCACTACACATAAGGGGCATAACTGGCCGACCCCTCACAGTGTTCAAGAGAGAACTATCAACATCAGAGGCCCGAGACTGTTCAACACGCTTCCACTACACATAAGGGACATAACTGGCCGACCCCTCACAGTGTTCAAGAGAGAACTATCAACATCAGAGGCCCGAGACTGTTCAACACGCTTCCACTACACATAAGGGGCATAACTGGCCGACCCCTCACAGTGTTCAAGAGAGAACTATCAACATCAGAGGCCCGAGACTGTTCAACACGCTTCCACTACACATAAGGGGCACAACTGGCCGACCCCTTACTCATAGTGTTCAAGAGAGAACTTGATAAACACCTCCAAAGGATACCTGATCAACCAGGCTGTGATTCATACGTCAGGCTGCGAGCAGCCGCGTCCAACAGCCTGGTTGGCCAGTCCAGCAACCAGGAGGCCTGGTCAGAGACCGGGCCGCGGGGACGCTGATCCTCGGAACCATCACCAGATAACCGTAAAGTATAATAGTAGTAGTAGTAAGCATCCACCAGTGTCAGGAGACTATGGAGTCTCTGGTTGTCGGTCTGGAGTGGCCTCTCCAGGGCGCAAAGCCAGGGTAGGATGATACGGGGGAGAAGCTGTTACCCATGCAGCAGGTTCCCCCTCTCCAGGGCGCAAAGCCAGGGTAGGATGATACGGGGGAGAAGCTGTTACCCATGCAGCAGGTTTCCCCTCTCCAGGGCGCAAAGCCAGGGTAGGATGATACGGGGGAGAAGCTGTTACCCATGCAGCAAGTTCTCCCTCTCCAGGGCGCAAAGCCAGGGTAGGTTGATATGGGGGGAGAAGCTGTTACCCATGCAGCAGGTTCCCCCTCTTCCCTCGTACTCTGCAAAAGTATAGTGTTAAAAGTTTGACTTTAAATATTAACAGTTGTCATCATTACTCACTGTCAATTTAGAGGCAGTTACTGAGTTAATTATCTTAAGTTTTTAATAGGTTTAGAATTATTGATTATCTTAGGTGTACTAAAGTCAATTACTATTTCGAACGTTAAAGTCTAATAACTTGAGCAGCTCTAAGATGTATCTGATTTATTTTCCTAATCTTCGGTTATTTTGGTTATCTTAAGTAACTTTAGTTTGGCTATTCTGAATATTATACTGTTAGATATATTTAGTATCTTTATATATATATATATATATATATATATATATATATATATATATATATATATATATATATATATATATATATATTAGTATATTTTGGTGGCAGTCTTTCCTGTAGACATATATTATTAAATATGACCGAAAAAGTAAGATTAATAATTCTAACACGAATTTTCTCAATCTTTCGTACATTATGCTTCACTGTTGGAGGTAAATCAAAAATCACTTCTCCAAAATTCATTTTTATTTCTAGTCTGACGCGACACGGGCGCGTTTCGTAAAACTTATTACATTTTCAAAGACTTCACAAATACACAACTGATTAGAACTTGCGTTTCCCTGATTTTATATCTACATTTGAGTGAGGTGGGAAGGGTGATGTGGCATTACATTTGAGTGAGGTGGGAAGGATGATGTGGCATTAACACAAGACAGAACACTAGAGGATATTAATAGGGTATTAAAAGTATCAACACAAGACAGAACAGAAACAATGGGTATTGAATAGAAGTGTTTGTAGAAAGCCTATTGGTCCATATTTCTTGATGCTTCTATATTGGAGCGGAGTCTTGAGGTGGGTAGAATATAGTTGTGCAATAATTGGCTGTTGATTGCTGGTGTTGACTTCTTGATGTGTAGTGCCTACACATCAAGAAGTCAACACCAGCAATCAACAGCCAATTATTGCACAACTATATTCTACCCACCTCAAGACTCCGCTCCAATATAGAAGCATCAAGAAATATGGACCAATAGGCTTTCTACAAACACTTCTATTCAATACCCATTGTTTCTGTTCTGTCTTGTGTTGATACTTTTAATACCCTATTAATATCCTCTAGTGTTCTGTCTTGTGTTAATGCCACATCATCCTTCCCACCTCACTCAAATGTAATGCCACATCACCCTTCCCACCTCACTCAAATGTAGATATAAAATCAGGGAAACGCAAGTTCTAATCAGTTGTGTATTTGTGAAGTCTTTGAAAATGTAATAAGTTTTACGAAACGCGCCCGTGTCGCGTCAGACTAGAAATAAAAATGAATTTTGGAGAAGTGATTTTTGATTTACCTCCAACAGTGAAGCATAATGTACGAAAGATTGAGAAAATTCGTGTTAGAATTATTAATCTTACTTTTTCGGTCATATTTAATAATATATATATATATATATATATATATATATATATATATATATATATATATATATATTTATATCTAGTACTATTAGTGTATTTTAGTATATTTACACTTTAGGATATTTAGTAGATTTAATCAGGAATTCTAAGCTGCTTTAGACATATTTTAAGTGTTCTTTTAAGTGAATTTAAAGTATAATTTTGAGTTGTTTACGTTTGGTGATAAATAAAGATGGCGCCCGTTGTAGAGCGGTGCCCCCACTGTGATGGAGAACACGGAGCCGCCTCCTGCACCACCTGCCGCACCTACCACCGCTACTTCCCACGCCCGCCACGCCCGCACGCCCACACCCACTCCTACCACACCAACAACCCCCACGCCGCCCTCAAGGTCCTCAGACAGCCCGCCCATCGACACCTGCGCCCGCGAAAGCGCTATCTGGCGGAGATTGATGGGTTTGTCCACGGTAGGAATGGCGCCTTTGATGAGGCGTCTTTAGTCTCCCCTTTTCTCTCCCGTTTTTTATCACGTTTGCATGTATCATGGAAGACAATAAATAATAATAATAATAATAATAATAATAATAATAATAATTATTTCAAACTGCACAAAGGATTTTGCAGTATTTAGTTATTTTGTAACTTTAAAGAAAACTGGGATAAAATATATTATAAATTAACCTAAGCTGACCTAACATATCGCATCCTGACTAAACGTAACCCTGACCTAACCTAACCTTACCAAGGCCTGGCCTAACCTAACCCAACCCTGACTTATTCAAGCCTGACCCAGAAACCTGACGGAGTGACGTTCATTGTTACATGAACGTCACTTGTGGAGTCACGTCACTCTTGAACGGGAGCCTGGCATGGTCTGACACGGAGCCTGTACCACAGGTGGTGTCGGGAGCCTGGCATGGTCTGACACGGAGCCTGTACCACAGGTGGTGACGGGAGCCTGGCATGGTCTGACACGGAGCCTGTACCACAGGTGGTGTCGGGAGCCTGGCATGGTCTGACACGGAGCCTGTACCACAGGTGGTGTCGGGAGCCTGGCATGGTCTGACACGGAGCCTGTACCACAGGTGGTGACGGGAGCCTGGCATGGTCTGACACGGAGCCTGTACCACAGGTGGTGACGGGAGCCTCACATGGTCTGACACGGAGCCTGTACCACAGGTGGTGACGGCTCTCACCCCCCACAGGAGACCTCACACCCCTCTCTTACCTCTCACAGGAGACCGAGGCAGACCGTCGCGTCGGGCGAGATCGGCGTCACCTCAGCGTCGACAAGCCTCGCCACCGCCCGACAGAGCAGCCGACCAACCCTCCTCCGCCGCCTATCCCAACAGGACCAGCGACCTACCCTCCTCCCGCCTTCGCAAGGACGAGGACGACCTGTCGGCCGAGGAGGACAACGACACCAAGTCACACTCCAGGTCCCACTCCAACTCCAGATCCCCATCGCCCCCTGCTAGCCACGCCTCCGCCCCTGCTGCGCTCAGTCAGCGCAGGACAAGGGTTTACAGGTCAGTTCTGGTCGCCTCACAGAGTCCAGTATACAGAAACGCGGCAAAATTGTATATTTCATTACAAAACTCCAGTAATAATAACAAATTGCACATATAATGGTGAATTATCACTATAGTGTAACAATGATGTATAATCAAGAAAGAAATTGAATTGAATTTGCTGAGAAATGTTTTGTTGGACCTGAGCATTGTAACACAAGTCTCAGTGTTGGCTGGTATTCTGCATGCCGTCATGCTGTCATGCTGTCATGCTGTCATGCTGTCATACTGTCATGCTGTCATGCCGTCATACTGTCATGCCTTCATACTGTCATGTGTATGTTTATACTCGTGTATGGAGTATATGGCCTGTCATGTGACCCTTGACTTAGAGTGACCTGTCATCCGTCCAGGCGACCTCTGACCCCCGACGCCCGTCGCCGCCACTGTGACTCTGACGACGACACCTGCGACGACTTCTACATCCCCAGGAGGTGAGTGTCCATGTTGTTGTTGTTGTTATAGATACAGCTACTCGGAACAAGTTCCAAGTAGCACGGGCTATGGTGAGCCCGTAGTGGACTTACCCGGCACGGAGCGGTGCTGTATCTCAGGATGGTGAGTGTTGAGTCACAGGACACCTCTATATACCTCTACCCTCAGTTACAGTTACTGTAACCTTTAACTGATGGTAGTCACTACTCTAACCATCTTTAGCTAGAGGTATCTGTGGGGTAATAGTAGCAGGCACTGTGTTTTTTAATTTGTGAATATTTATTTTAGTGGACTGAATGTAAATTCAGCCTGCCTGGTTTTAATTTTTGCCCCACCTCACCTTGCTATGCGTACTAGTGGCTTTAGGTATTTATGTACTAGCTCTATCTATGAATCCGACCATTTGGTCACCACTTGGTCCGGGAGACATCTCCCGTCACGCAGGGTGCAGTTGCGCCTCCACAGATCTCCAGTATCATCTTTTGATACTGGTAATGGCTCAAAAGGGCCACCACTTACGGGCTATTCATGCCCGTGCCACCTCTTGGGTGGCTTAATCTTTATCAATCATCAATCTATGAATCCAACATTATGTTTGTAAATCAACTATGTATGTACTTTCCTGAATAAAATTTATTTTACTTTACTTACTTACTTTACTTTAACACATAGTTGGGCGTTTAGTGAATGTACACAGTCTATCCCACAATTGGAGGTGATATAATAAGCCATATACATTTACTATGATTTTCATTTAAATTATACCACATATGTTTGATTAGACTACAGTGTAAGGTTAGTACTACACAATATTATTGTAAACGTGGTGAGGTAAAGGAGAAGCATTGCCAGACATGTGGCTTTATTGAGCAAATAATTACAGTAGTTACATCCTGCAATAACACAAGCCATATAATATACAATACTTATAAAGAATAAACAGTGAAGCTATATATAACAGCTTAAGCTATATATAATTATAAGCAAACTGCACATGACTAACGCTAGAACAAATATAAATTAAACTAGGAGTTGTTGTTGTTGTGTTGATTTAGGGGCGACGACGATCGTGGGATCGGATGCGCCCCGGCTGCCCGATACCGGGAAATAGCGGAAGGATGGGGTCCCTATAGTCTCTTCAGGCCATAGACCCTACAATCTCCTCAGGCCACAAATTTTACAGTCACTTCAGGACACGGACATGACGGATGAAGCGGAAGGTATGGCGAAGGATGTCATGACGAACGTCTTCATCTCTCGCACCTGCCCCGTCAAGGAGAACGGGAACTGTGAGGCGGGGAATATTCAGCCTACGAACGGCACTCTGTAGTCTGACGCGAGCGCTATGAAATCGAGGGCAGTGAAGAAGGTGCTCCACTGTACCCTCCTGGGTCGGACACCACTGGCAGTATGGGGAATCTACCAGCCGTAGACGATGGAGATGTGCGGCCAGGCAAGTGTGCCCAATCCGGAGACGAGTGATGGCAGTGTCGAGGAGTCGAGAATGATGACGAGTCCATGGACGCGAGGTGGAATCAAAATTGCGTAGAAATTGCGTCTTCTTAAAAAGGGAGCGGGCATTCCAAAACACCACAGTATTCTCAGGATGGGGCGCCATTATCCCTGAAATACAACAGCTAACTTTTTGACCACCAGTGAACAGACGTCTCCAAAGGGGAAACCACTAGAAAAAGCCATAAAACCCTCATACAAAGTAAGTAAAATGTGTGGTATCAATGACTTCCAGTCCAGAGGATGTTGATCTATGCTTCTCTCTGCCTGACGGAAGCGGTGGTCGGCTCGCGAACTCTCTTGACGGCGTCTGCGACTGGTGGGAGCCTCACTCTAGGCTTCATGTTCCCCCGGTGTCACAATCCCTTGGGAAAGTACCTGGGGGACCAGAGGATCATCAGGACTGTCTGTTGGAGCAGTACCTCCTGATCGATGGGTGTGTCGACGACGCCGGTGTTGGCTTCTTTGAGGAGAGGCAGGAGGGTGATGAGTGCTAGGCTCCGGCCGAGACTGAGCGTCCATGTCTGTATCCGTGGATGAGTTTCCGTCAGTGTCAAGGCTACCCAGGAGGGAAAATCGATTAGCAACCTGGGCGTATGTGGCATGTGACTGGGACAGGCTAGAGCGTCTGCTAGTTCCTACTTGTGAAGAGACCCGACCAGGGGGAACCTGGAGGCGAGAAGCGATAGGCTGATTGAGGGTGCGCAACTTCTGGAACAGCTCATGTCGAGGGGTCCCCGCTGTTTTATGATCGATGTCCAACTGGAGGGCCTCAAGATATACAGGGCAACTCTTAGACGTAACCTTATGATGGCCATGGCATAAAAAGCAGCGAGGTGCAGCAGAGCACCCACCGTTATCTCTGTCTGAATGGCCTGTTTTGCCGCAGTTTGCACAACGTGCTGCATTACGGCAGGTCAGGCGACTGTGGCCCAATAGATGACAAGCGTAACATCGTAACACAGGGAAATTATAGGGCTGAACCTGATACGAGGTCCTGTGTAGTGCCACTCGGTCAGGGAGGTGCCCATCGAACTTTACACGGTCCATGGATGTCGGCCCTGCTGCTCCGCGAATCCTGGTAACTTCCAATAATCTCGCTGATGCACCCCCTAATACCTGCAGAGCGGCCTGGATGTCATCCACATCAACACTCTGGTCGATTGGGCCAATCTTCCCATACCGGGCTCGAGACTCCTCCTCCTGTGACAATACCTGTCGGCACCTGACAGGCCAGTCCCCCAACTTAATAATGTCGGATACACAGATGTGTGATAGAGCCTCCTTTTTGATATGTAGCTTCAATGCTGCACCCCTACCCAGGGTACGTATGGTCTCAGGCAGGCAATGTGGCCACAATACCGAAGCCTCGATTGCTGCACCTAAGGAACGAGGATTTGCAAAGACGCACTGACCTGATTCTGACTGGATTAGGACTACCACAAACGAGGAACGGGGTACCACAAGACTAAGGTCTTCTGAAGGGGAAGACATCCTCTTAGCATCTCGCTCTGGGGCAGCATCAGCCGACTCATTTTCCAGCAGACGTTTTCCTCTCTGGGACTTGCTGTCAACATCCATGGCGCCCCCGCTCGGGGAGGCGTCCATTAGGGAGGCTCCGGCCTCCCCCGGTCCTGCGAACCCCTGGGTAGCTGCAGTGAGCACACACTGGCCCAAAGAAGCCAGCTGAATTCAAAGATGAGTTCCAGGTAAGATGTGGAAAGAACGTCCAGCCAGGAGCGTTCAATCCGCGCGCCAAGATGGCCGACCTTCGGGCCAAAACTAGGAGTTAACATTAAACTAACCTGTACACAGGCACGACACAGCTGATCTGACAACAACAAAACAGTCAAGTGAGCATCCAAACGAAACAGTCAAGCAAGCATCCATCCGGGTACAATAATATAATAACACTTACTACACGTGGGTTAGTACAAAGGTAAATTGGTGTCCTTAGTTGTGTGGGTTGATATGGCCTGATTAGGCAGTGGTTACCTTGAGGTTACCTTGAGGTGCTTCCGGGGCTTAGCGTCCCCGCGGCCCGGTCGTCGACCAGGCCTCCTGGTTGCCGGACTGATCAACCAGGCTGTTGGACGCGGCTGCTCGCAGCCTGACGTATGAGTCACAGCCTGGTTGATCAGGCATCCTTTGAAGGTGCTTATCCAGTTCTCTCTTGAACACTGTGAGGGGTCGGCCAGTTATGCCCCTTATGTGTAGTGGAAGCGTGTTGAACAGTCTCGGGCCTCTGATGTTGATAGAGTTCTCTCTCAGAGTACCTATTGCACCTCCGCTTTTCAACGGGGGTATTTTGCACATCCTGCCATGTCTTCTGGTTTCATGTGATGTTATTTCTGTGTGCAGGTTTGGGACCAGCCCCTCTAACATTTTCCACGTGTAAATTATTATATATCTCTCCCGCCTGCGCTCAAGGGAATACAGATTTAGGCTCTTTAGTCGGTCCCAATAGTTTAGGTGTTTTACTGAGTGAATTCTAGCAGTATAGGATCTCTGCACGCTCTCCAGGTCGGCAATCTCTCCAGCTTTGAAAGGGACTGTCATTGTGCAGCAGTACTCCACTCTAGAGAGCACAAGCGTTTTGAAAAGTGTCAGTGTGAGAGAGTTGTTCCAACATCAGTGTTTGGTTGGCCACATGTGGTCCAGGGGCCAGTTTCACGAAAGCAGTTACGCAAGCACTTACGAACGTGTACATCTTTCCTCAATCTTTGACGGCTTTGGTTACATTTATTAAACAGTTTACAAGCATGAAAACTTGCCAATCAACTGTTGTTATTCTTATAAACAGCCTCCTGGTGCTTCGGAGCTCATTAACTGGATAATAAGGGTAAACAAAGCAACCAAAGATTGAGAAAAATGTACAGGTTCGTAAGTGCTTGCGTAACTGCTTCGTGAATCTGGCCCCAGGTCTTGGCCCATGTAATGGTGTCTGTAAAATGGCGTCTATAGGAGCAGCCTGATCATGCATGGCAGTGTCACAGGTTAGGTTAGGCTGGTGGTCAGCTCAACTAATATCTCCAGGTCACAAGCTGTATGTATGAGGGTTATCTTGAGGTTATCTTGAGATGATTTCGGGGCTTTAGTGTCCCCGCGGCCCGGTCCTCGACCAGGCCTCCACCCCCAGGAAGCAGCCCGTGACAGCTGACTAACACCCAGGTACCTATTTTACTGCTAGGTAACAGGGGCATAGGGTGAAAGAAACTCTGCCCATTGTTTCTCGCCGGCGCCTGGGATCGAACCCAGGACCACAGGATCATAAGTCCAGCGTGCTGTCCACTCGGCCGACCGGCTCCCTCAAAGGGTGTGTACAACATTGATAATTTTGTAACTAGCGTCAAACATTGTTATTTGCTTAGCTAAACGAACCAGAGGGTTCAGTTCCTGAGCCCATTATGCGCCTCTGTAATCCTTTACACCACCGCCCACGGGATGGGTATGGGGTGCATAATAAAGAAAGAAATTGAATTGAATTATCATGCTTCCGAAGGAATGGGCTATAAAAATGTTCAAAACATATGAAGTACAGGTGTGACATGTGAGATGAAGGGTGATGCTGAGTAAAAAAAACCTAAATGTTAAATGTTAAAGACTGTACCTCTCTCAACCAGTTTAAGATAAAAACGAAGCTATACCTAATAAATTCCCTGTAACCTACCTTACCCTTCTATTGTCAACCAATGTCTGTTTTTTTTAAAGAGCGCTGTTTGTCGACAGAATTATATTTGTGCTGCTTTTTCAGCTATGTTTTCATTCCATGTTTTCATTTTACTCTTTATGCTCAATTAGTATTAAGCTTTAGTGATTTAAGTTTTTCATGCCCGAAACGCTTTGCGTAATAGTGGCTTTAGGCATTGTATGTACTAGCCCTATCTATAATTCCATCACTCTTTGTAAAATCTCTTGTATGTATGTACCTTACGTAAATAAACATTTGATTTGATTTGATTTGATTTGATTTAAATCAAATCAAATGTTTATTCAGGTAAAAGTTCATACATAGAAGATTAGTTGCAAACATAATGTTGGATTTATAGATAAGAGCTGATACATACAATACCTAAAGCCACTAGTACGTATAGCGTTTCGGACATCTAGCCTATCTTACAAAATTCAATATAAGTCGTCACATCAACCCATTGTTGATGTGACGACTTAATACTGAATTTTGTAACTAGCTCATCAAGATTGTAACTTGCTTAGCTAAATGAATTATGGGGTTCAGTCCCTGACCCCATTATGTGTCTCTGTAACCCTTTCCACTACCGCCCACAAGGTGGGTATGGGGTGCACAATAAATGAACTAAACTAAAAACTAGCCTATCTTAACAGTTAATGGCCAAGAACATGATAATATAGATAATTGGCAAGACGGATACTCAGCTCTGTCCCGTTGTTGTAGAGGTTGCTGTGGCAGTGCACTGTGGGATAGAATAGTCTATCGTATGTGATGTTTTTACATTCTGTCTGCCTGCATGGCGGCCAAGTTCAAGTTCAAGTTCAAGTATGTTTATTGAGATAAGCAAGAAATACATCTCAAAGGGATAGAGTAGCTTAGGCTATTTCTACCCCCTCTACTTCAAGTCCCTCAGGGGGCGCACAAATTCAGTGGCGTGCATGGCGCCACTGCATGGAGCATGCAGTGGCGGCCTTCCTCCCCCTGAGTGGTGTTCCAATAATATTTTTAGTTCCTACTCTGTTTTATGGACTTAGGGAGGTTAGCTTCAGTTTTGTTACTAATTATATTATATCCAGTCATAGTGAATACTTTTTTTATTAAGTTTAAACACTATAGACTGTTGTTTTAAAGAATAGTTGTAAAGCTTAGTTAATATACATGTTGTTGTGATGACGTCACGGAATCTTCCATTCTCTTTAAAGTTTTGTTAATGGCTAACTATAGAAAATGAACTACATTTATGATGCTTACTATGTTAATATGTCGTGTGTCGGATTTCCGACAGTATCTTACCACCCCACGGATACTATCACTACCATATTACTAGAGAAACAAGTACAGTACTGAACAAGGTCATTATTACCCGTACAGGTACTACCACCACCACTACTACCCCTGGGAGGACTGCCCACTGTGTTGGCCAGAATACCCACACCTGCCTGGGTACCCTCGTCTTCCCCGGTACTACTCTGCCCGTGACCACCTGCACCACCGCTAGCCTCAACCACCACCGTCACCACCATCACCACCCTCGTCGTCAGCTACCCACCACCACCCCCCTGGGCCACCCACCACCCTGGGGCCACTCACCTGTTATGCTACAAGTGACGTCCTTGTCCTCGTCAGCATCTGTTGGTCGGTCCGTCCTCGTAGTACGGTTGGCTCCGTTCTCGACTCACAATCTAGTATCCCGGGTTCGATTCCCGGACAGGTTAGGCAGCTGTTGTGGGGTTGCGTGCTGGGGAAGGTCAGTAGTAATATTTATGTTATATATATTATATTTAATGATAATATATTAGCATATTGGGCATATATTGGCATAGGTTAGGTTGGGTTAGGTGTTTAGGTTCTGTTGGCGATTATTTGTATTTGTAGTACGTGGGTGAAGCATTTACAGCGTTGTGGTTCGAACAAAATCCATCAGTGAAGCACTTGTTCCGGAAGTGTTCGAACGTCAACAGTTTTGAGTCGTGTGTAATCCGTTTTTCATTCATAAACAGCTGGGGTTGGCGGGTGCATGGAATCACTTTTGGGTCTTTGTTTGGAGGACGGGCTGGAGGAAGGGCTGGATGACCTTCAAACATTTATGGAACAATGCTTCGACCTCTGTTCGAATCGCAACTCTGTAAATGCTTCACCTACGTACAGTATTTACTTAAAATACAAATAATTGCCAACTGAATACAAATGACCTAACCTACGCCTTTACATTGAACTCTAATTAATAAACATTTCAATTTATATGAGAACAAATCTATTTTAATATACATGTTCAAATTTATGAATGCATCTTTAAGGACGGCGGCTGCTTAGTCGAGCATAGCCTGAGACAACCCGTCCTCACACTAGGCTGTTTACAGCAGCGGCCGTCCTCCCCAGATGCATTCATCAGTTTAAACAACTGTGCATTAAATAGTGGTTTGTTAATATATATTAATATTATTATACATAAAAATTCTTTGTATAGTTAGGCGTAGGTTAGGTTAGATGTTTAGGTTCTAGTGGCGATTATTTGTATTTGAAGTACGTGGGTGAAGGATTTATAGAATTGTGGTTCGAACAGAGGACGTGAGCGAAGCACTTGTTCCGGAAGTGTTTGGACGTCATCAGTTGTGAGTCGTGTGGAAACCACTTTTCATTGATAAACAGGGGGTTTGGCGGCTGGATTAACGAGCTTGGATTTTTGTATGGAAAGACGGTCTGCCCAAGGACGGGTTAAATTACCGCCCTGAACTTTGGCTTCACCAATTATACGTTTCCTTTCTAAAAATTACGTTTCTTGGAGGAGCAATTTTTAGTATTGGTCTAATGTTTTGTATTTCTATCTCAGACAGGCATAAATAAAAAATATTTATTATTATTATTTATTACGTTATATTAAATAATGATAAAGTCACGGTAGATTTAGTAATGATAGGCATGGTAGATTAAGTAGTGATGAAGTCACAGTAGATTTAGTAATGATAGGCATGGTAGATTAAGTAGTGATGAAGTCACGGTAGATTTAGTACTAACGGAGTCACGGTAAATTGCATAAATAGGTAGCTATTATCATGCAAGAGCAATACTTATTATGTAATAATAATAATAATAATAATAATAATAATAATAATAATAATAATAAAAGTTGTAATGTGTACCAAAGAAATCTATTGAATGTCAAATAACATCCGCTGGATGAGATTAGACCCTCCTGTGTCATCCATAATCCCTGTGTTCTGTCGCTCACCGTAAGTGTAAGTCATTGTCAACTGAAGGTACCAAGCCTGGTGCCCTCAGTTGAAGGTACCAAGCCTGGTGCCCTCAGTTGAAGGTACCAAGCCTGGTGCCCTCAGTTGAGGGTACCAAGCCTGGTGCCCTCAGTTGAGGGTACCAAGCCTGGTGCCCTCAGTTGAAGGTACCAAGCCTGGTGCCTTCAGTTGAAGGTACCAAGCCTGGTGCCCTCAGTTGAGGGTACCAAGCCTGGTGCCCTCAGTTGAGGGTACCAAGCCTGGTGCCTTCAGTTGAGGGTACCAAGCCTGATGCCCTCAGTTGAAGGTACCAAGCCTGGTGCCTTCAGTTGAAGGTACCAAGTTGGTGCCCTCAGTTGAAGGTACCAAGCCTGGTGCCTTTAGTTGAAGGTACCAAGCCTGGTGCCCTCAGTTGAAGGTACCAAGCCTGGTGCCCTCAGTTGAAGGTACCAAGCCTGGTGCCCTCAGTTGAAGGTACCAAGCCTGTTGCCCTCAGTTGAAGGTACCAAACCTGGTGTCCTCAGTTGAAGGTACCAAACCTGGTGTCCTCAGTTGAAGGTACCAAACCTGGTGTCCTCAGTTGAAGGTACCAAGCCTGGTGCCCTCAGTTGAAGGTACCGCCGGCAGGGTCGCTGGTCTGAGGATACTGGTAACAAACTATGTATTCTCAAAAGTAACGTGTCCTCTTGGCCTTATTCCTTCCACCGTAATAGACGATGGGAAACGGCTTTAGCTAGGTATATATATAAATATATATATATATATATATATATATATATATATATATATATATATATATATATATATATATATATATATATATATATATATATATATATATATATATATATATAAAAGCCATACTGGTGATGATGTGCTTAATAGGGGAGGGGACCTTCGTGATGGGGGCATAATATGTGTGTGGCGTGTACTGTCATAGTGGGAAAAGTGTATTAGTGGTGGGGAGGAGTAGTGGCGTGAAGACAGACAGGTGTGTGGTGGTGGTGTGAGGACAGGTGTGGTGGTGGTGGAAGACTTGGGGCGCCCCGCGCCACACAGCCTGTATGGTGTACTCACTGGAGCGACTCGCCCCCCACCCCAGGTCCTAGTTCACATCACGTTCACAAAATTTTAGGGCCTACTCTTGAGGCGGCTTTAACAGAGACTGCACTCAAGGGGTCCCATGGCGCCGTCTGACACGTCAACGACATGGTTAAGACGAGCGCCCTGATTGGCTGCTTGGTGAAGTTGCCCTCAGAGAGAGTTCTAGGATCAGGGTATCTCTGTTGCCTGTACCACCTGAGATGCACCTCCCATTCAGAGTGCACATATGTCTATGGTCACGGGGTCACATAGGAGGGGGCTGTGACCAACACGTGCTATACACCCACCCTAGACGTCACATGGATGCATTCATTGCACCTGAGGTTGCTTTATTGCATGTCCGCTGAAGGTCTTGATGTTTGATGGAGAATCAAGCAAGATATTAGAACCTCTCATTGCATGATGAATGCACCATTGTCAGTTTGCTGTATTTCTCCATGCATTAACTGTGATAAAGCAATTTACTAACATCACTTGCACATATTAAATGCTTTTATATTTCTCCTTTGTTTAGCTTTAAATTATATTTTATGCTTTAACATTAGGCTTGTAAATACAATTCTGAAGAGTACACAAATTACAGTGATGCGAGAGAATTGTGTTATGCCATTAGTGTCGCGACTCGTCAATGATTGGCCAGTCTGTATTACGATAAAAATGATTCATTTACAGCTCATCTCGTCAATAAACATCACTTATAATTACCAAGGTAAGTATCAGTAATGTTTCTACAGACCACAGGTACTACCACCATAATTACTGCCCACCACAGGTACTACCACCATAATTACTGCCACCACAGGTACTACCACCACCATTACTGCCACCACAGGTACTACCACCACCATTACTGCCACCACAGGTACTACCACCACCATTACTGCCACCACAGGTACTACCACCACCATTACTGCCACCACAGGTACTACCACCACCATTACTGCCACCACAGGTACTACCACCACCATTACTGCCACCACAGGTACTACCACCACCATTACTGCCACCACAGGTACTACCACCACCATTACTGCCACCACAGGTACTACCACCACCATTACTGCCACCACAGGTACTACCACCATAATTACTTCACCTCACAACTACATGGATTTAGCTACAGCCTTTGATAAGGTACCACATGAAAGGTTGGCAAAGGAGCATGGAATAAATGGAAGAATACTGGAATGGATAAAACAATGGTTAAAACAAAGACAACAAAGAGTGGTGCTAAATGGGAATGAATCTGACTGGAGAAATGTGGTAAGTGGGGTACCACAGGAGTCCATTTTGGCGCCAACTCTTTTTGTCTTATGCATTAATGACATAGATGAGAATATTACAAACCACATCATCAAATTTGCAGATGACACAAAGATTTATGGTAAAGTGGGAAGTAATAATGATGTTGAAGCCTTACAAAGAGATCTATAGGAACTCCATAAATGATCAGCTGACTGACAAATGCTTTTAATATTGACAAATGCAAGACCCTGCATGTGGGGCATAACTACCAAATTAATAACATTACATTATAGCAGATTGAGGAAGAATAGGAACTTGGAATCAAAATCCACCACTCAATGAAAGTTGCACAGCAGGTAGGAGCAGCAAAAAAAAAAAAAGCTAACCAAACACTTGGGATAATCAAGCATATCTTCAACATGAAGGAAAAGAAGGTAGTGATTCAATTGTATAAATCTCTTGTGAGCCCCCATTTGGATAACTGTGTCCAAGCATGGAGACCTCATCTTCAGAGGGATATAGCTGCTCCTAAGAAAGTGCAACACCGGGCAACAAAACTCATTCTAGAACTAAGTCAACTTATGTATCAAGAACGGTTCAGGGCCACAGGGGTAACATCACAGCAAACCAGGCAATGCAGGGCAGATCTTATCAAAACTTATTAAATAAGGTACTGAACAAGTTGGAGGATGTTCATCCGGAAAATGTCTTCAAAAGGTCAGATGTAACACAAACAAGGAGTAACGGTTTCAAGCTTAACAAGCCACAATGTAGGACTGGGAACAGGAGATGCTTTTCTACCCACAGGGTTATTAACCCATGGAACTGCCTACCTGCAGAAGCCGTAAATGCACAAACTTTGTTAACCTTTAAAGTACAGCTGGAAAAAAAATCAAGGTAAATGCGGGGACCTTCGACAAGCCTTTCTGTCCTCCTCGAGGCCACTAGTGTTAGATGGCTCTCGGGTAAACTCGGGTACTACCACTACCATTACTACAACTCACAGGTACTACCACCACCACCACCATTACTGCACCTCACAGGTACAACCACCACCACCACCACCACCACCACCATCATTACTGCACCTCACAGGTACTACCTCTACCACAGATACTACAGCACCATTACTACACCCCACGCGTATTACCACCACCATTACTACATCCCACAGGTATTACCACCATCATTACTACCCCCTACAAGTACTACCACATCCATTATTACCCCCCCCCACACAGTTATTACCACTACCATTGCTGCCCTCTTCCCTTTAGTTTGGTACCCCCTATTTGTTGGGGTCCCTGTAGTGCAGTTGGATTCATTCTCGACTCACAATTGGGAATTCAGAGTTCGAATTCTGGCCGGGACAGAAATGGTTGGGCATGTTTTCTATCACCTAATGCACCTTTTTATCTGACAGTAAATAGGTACCCAGGAGTTAATCAGCTTGTAGGGTAGAATCCTTTGAAGGGTCTGTAATTCGACCTTGGAGGAACACCCAGTATAGGCCTCTAAATACAATATGGTTTTATACACAACAAGTATGCAGGTCTCTAAATACAATATTGTTTCATTCACAACAAATTTGCAGGCCTCTGTAAATACAATATTGTTTCATACATAACAAATATGCAGGCCTCTGTAAAATACAATATTGTTTCATACACAACAAGTATGCAGGTCTCTAAATACAATATTGCTTCATTCACAATAAATATGAAGGCCTCTGTAAATACAATATTGTTTCATACACAAATATGTAGGTCTCTGTAAATACACTATTGCTTCTATTACAACAAGTATTTAGGTTTCTGTAAATAAAATATTGTTTCGAATACTGCAAGTATGCAGGTGTCTGTAAATATAATATATGTATATCATAATTCTTAAAACTAAATAAGTATCTGGATGAGCTGTACTGAAATTTATTTTTGACAAATACTAAAATTTTCAAACAACAGGGAAAACTTCTGCATTCATTCAAGAGTATGATATACTGTATATATATATGTTTTTAAATAATTACACTGTACAGTATCTTTTTCTAAAATTCAAATTATGCATACACTACTGTTTTTAGTTTAGAATACAGTACAGTATTCATTATGCACCCCATACCTATCGTGTGGGACTGTATTTTAAGATGTTTACTTGTGACTAATAATTCAGATTGCTGCCCTTTATATATAAAGAATTAAGATCTTATCCTTGCATTGTAATTTATTCTAAACAATAGTTTGAATGAGATAATCAATTTTAGATCAAAATAAAGCAATAATGTAACACATTTAATATACTGTACAGTACATGATAAAGAACTTTGATCATTAAATATAAAATACAAACTTATAGACACAGGTTGAGATTTATTTTTCATGCTGCTTTGTGTGTTCTTCAGATATGATCGCTACTTGAGAAGACTTGGGTGTGTGTGTTGGTGTGCTCTGTGCTCTAGGCACACCCACTGTCGCACCTGTCGCCTCCTCTCTCGACCTCTCTACACCTGCCACAGATACCGCTCCTCATACCTCCCCTACCACCACAGACCCTACACAAGCACATACCTCCGCAATCTGGATATGATTGACTCTGATGACCTCAATTTGAGTACCCCACAAAAACCCAGCAAGACACCCACCAAGACGGACAAAAAGGAAGGTGACACAAGCGAGGATTCTGACTTGTTTGACAGTTCTCAGGTAGAAGAGATTGAGGAAGGGATAAATAAGAAGAGCCAACTAGCGAAACGGGAGAATTGGCTCAAGACCAAAAAACATACTAAAGATCCTGCTAAAAGTGATAAAGAGGGGACAAGAGAATCAGGGGATCCTTCTCAAGCCCACATTACAGGCACTAATGTAAATGAGGTACACAAAACAAACACTTCAAGTGCCGAGTTCTTTGACATCGATTGATCAAAACAAATTAGCATGTTTACATGTAACTACTTTACCCAAACACAGCAGTGCTGTTATATTGGATACAGTATTGTTTACTGTTATACTATGTGCTGTATACTGCACACTATTATACTGTACTATACTATGTTTTATACATATACAGTACTGTTATACAGTACTGTATATTGTTATACTGTACACAAACCTTAATACTTTTCTGTCACAGGCAAAGAGTGAAGTGTAATAGTTTTTTGCAATTATATATGGCACACTGTTGAAATATATATATATTATGGTTATAGAGCATATATGATTAATGAAACTACTGTAAACAAATCCACAAGGGCAGTGACAAGGATTTGAACCTGCGTCCGGGAGCGTCCCAGACACTGCCTTAATCGACTGAGTCTGGGGTGTCTGGGATGCTCCCGGACGCAGGTGCGAATCCTCGTCACGGCCCTTGTGGATTTGTTCATTTGATGCATCACGTTAGTGTGATTTCTGTGTGTAATGAAACTACTGTAGTTCTGTTTTTTAATAGTTCTGAATTTTAAAGTGCATAAGGTTAATGATTTTAAGTGTAAATTAGGTAATAAATTATTTTGAGATGTACCGAGTGAAATTCAAGTAATATTGTTAACACATTTAAAGATGATTTTACTGTAACTTGTTTTAGAAAGCCCAACCACTTGGACTGGTCTTGCTTGTTGCAAGTCAGTGTTCGATTTCCAACCGTCCAAGTTGTTGGGCCCTATTCCTTTCCTTCATCCTATCCCAAATCCTTATCCTTTGCAAATCCTATATACTGTAGTCATAATGGCTTAGTGTTTTCTCCTGATAATTACCTTACCTTGTATTAAGATAAAAATTATATGTCGCTTAATACTGTCTGTCTTTCTTTCTGTCTCTCTCTTTTATTGTGTTTGTGTGTGTGATATTACCTAAATGTAGTTACATAATGAGAGCTCTGCTCATGGTGTCCAGTCTTTCTTGTAATCCTTGGCATATGACATTTTAAAGCTTTAATGATTTTGGCATCTTCCACCCTCTCATCTAAACCATACCAACTGTCCACAATTCTGTACACAAAAATTAACTTTCATAAATTTTTTATCACCTTTGTTATTTTAAGTAGGATCTGCAGCTTGAAGTTGCAGGTTTAAAAAAGTCCCCTTTGTCAATTAATTACCATTTTGAATGTGGTGATCATATTGCCTTTTGTTTTTCTGTCTAGTAGCTTTGGCCATATTTACCTTCTGTAGCTACTTCTCATAGTTCGTTTTTTAGGTCCAGAAGCCACTTAGTAACATGTCTTTGCATCTTTTTGACTTTGTCAATGTGCTTCTTAAGATATGAACATCACACAACTGATGCATATGGTAATTTCAGTCTCGTCAAAGTGATTTTGAAATTTGCTAGCACAGCGTAGACTCCTCACGCAATATCTTTTATGCAATTCTCTGGTAATAGTTTTCTATTTATAACCACCAGTAGCTCTCTTTTTGTCATATTTTTGCCTAATTTATAGGTCAAATGAGGCCTGTTATCCCTTATTCCACATTCCATTGCACGACATTTATCGAGACTGAATTCCATTTGCCATTTGTTGCTCCTTCACTTATCATGATAGTTATCTAGGTCTTCTATTCTTCCTATTAGCATAGCATCATCTGCAAACATACTCATATAACTATGAATCTCCTAAGGTGATTCTTAATATCGACAATGAGCATAACTGATGCTTACACTGAATCTTGTGGTACTTCACTAGCAACATTTCTCCAGTCTGATGCATTGGTGATTCACTGCTTATTTTTTTATCAGAAAAGATTTATTCAATCCATGTCAGTAGTCTGCCTGTCACCCCCTTCTGAGTTCTAGTTTCCAGAGCAGCAGCTTGTCAAGAAACCCTTGTCAAAAGCTTTTTAGTGTAAGATCTCAGTGGCTCCATCATAAAAGATTAGTAGATTTCTTGCACACAACCTTCCAATTCGAAAGACATACTGTCTGTTCATTATTATGTCATTTCTCTCCAGGTTTTCTGCTCATTTGGATTCAATTACTTTTCTAACGATTTGATTATCACTTGTCAGTGATACAGATATATAATTTAGAGGGTCTTTTCTTGTTCAATTTTAATATTGTAGATTGGAATAATGTTTGCCTTTTCTATATATCTGCTAGGTTTCTTGCTTGTAAGAGTGTCTGTAAAATATTAGTGGAATGCTAACGGGGGAGCTGGTCGGCCGAGCGGACAGCATGCTGGACTTGTGATCCTGTGGTCCCGGGTTCGATCCCGGGCACCGGCGAGAAACAATGGGCAAAGTTTCTTTCACTCTATGCCCCTGTTACCTAGCAGTAAAATAGGTACCTGGGTGTTAGTCAGCTGTCACGGGCTGCTTCCTGGGGGTGGAGGCCTGGTCGAGGACCGGGCCACGGGGACACTAAAGCCCCGAAATCATCTCAAGATAACCTCAAAAAGATGCTAAGCTTGTGTGTGCATCCCCATAGAACCCAAGGTGACTTCATCTGGATTGACTAATTTGTTTCTTCATAATTCCTTAAGCAGTTTAACTACTTGGTCTCTTGACACATCCAGGAACTCTACATTGTGCTGTAAAGTCTGTTTTGGAAGGTGTCTGAAAACGTCATGTTACATAAACATGCTTTGGCAATGTCCAATTAGTTCTTCGCACAATTTCTTTTTCAGACTTTAAATCTGTTTCCCATTCTTAATCTTTGGATTTTATCGTTTACTTGCAATTTGCTGATGAATTTATAGAGGAGGCCGAGTGTTGTTTTACATTATCAGTTGGCTGAGGCTAGAAGAGTAGATGCTATGTGTGCTGAGATAGCCTCGTCAATGTTGATGGTGTCATCACTAGGATATTTTGTATGTATTGATTCTGTGTCAAAGCTATTTGATTCCATGTCAAGGCTATTTGATTATGTGTAAAAGCTATTTGTGTCAAAGCTATTTGATGCTGTGTCAAAGGTATTTGATGCTGTCAAAGATATTTGATGCTGTGTCAAAGCTATTTGATGCTATGTCAAAGCTATTTGATGCAGTGTCAAAGCTATTTGATGGTGTGTCAAAGCTATTTGATGGTGTGTCAAAGCTATTTGATGGTGTGTCAAAGCTATTTGATGGTGTGTCAAAGCTATTTGATGCTGTCAAAGCTATTTGATTGTGTGTCAAAGCTATTTGATTGTGTGTCAAAGCTATTTGATTCTGTGTCAAAGCTATTTTTGTATTTTCGATTTTGTTACTCATTGTGAGTGGAACGACTCGATTTTCAGTGATACAATCAAAAGGCCTTTGTGGAGTAAACTTTTACACATTTGAAACAGACATTAATGCCACTTAGTGGCCAACTCTGTTATTATACAAATGTTCAATATTATTAAGTCTGGATGACTTGTAGATTTTAATAATAGGTGTTGGTATACAATGTTATTTATTGCATTTTATCCAATGTGTGTCAAATACTGTACATCGGTTCTTTCATCGTGACTAGTAAGTCGAGCTCATCTTTTTCATGTGTTAAAGCATAGAAATCTCTCAATGTATTTGAAGTTGTAGTCAATGCAAGTTTCTGAACTGAATTTGCTATTTTTATAAAGGCTGAAGATATAGAGCAGAGCCTGATACAGCCACCATGTACAGGCCACATCAAGTCTTGAATTACAAAGTTTCTATAGTTTTGTGTTCCACCCAAAAATTTTCTGAGGACCAAACCACACACCAGAAGATGAAGAAATGATGGCATTTTGGTCCATCCTGGACCATTATTAAGTCGTATTTGACGACTTGATAATGGTCCAGGATGGACCGAAACATTGTCGTCTTTTCATCTTTTGGTGTGTAGTTTGATCCACATCTTCAACATTATTGTGACTCATTGTCTGCAAAAATTTTCTATTAGAATAAAATAGGAATTAGCTGCATTGTTCTTCTCCACTATATGTGAAATTGTTCTTGTCTTTAGTGCTGTATCTTACATAACAAGGAATACTTTCTGTAGCCATATGAAATATCATAACGCAAATGCCAGCGAATTTTTTCACAGGCTCTTTTGTCAACATCCATTTACAATTTTGCTGAGGATGAGACATAATTAACTGCCTCTGTTTATCCCTCTTTGACCGTCTTAATAAAATCTTCACTTATTGTTATAGTAACATTAAAAATCTTGGACCCAGTTTCACGAAGCAGTTATGCAAGTACTTACGAACGTGTACATCTTTCCTCAATCTTTTATGGCTTTGGTTACATTTATTAAACAGTTTACAAGTGTGAAAACTTGCCAATCAACTGTTGTTATTGTTATAAACAGCCTCCTGGTGTTTCGAAGCTCATTAACTGTTTAATAATTGTAAACAAAGCCGCCAAAGATTTAGAAAAGATGGACAGGTTCGTAAGTGCTTGCGTAACTGCTTCGTGAATCTGGCCCTTGATCTATAGCTACATTTTAGTATATAATCTATTTTATGCTGTTTGACAGAAAATGTACACAGCAGGCAAATGGCTAAATCGTGAAGTTTTGAATTGTGTACAATGGGATTGTACACAATTGAATTGTAAGTACAGTGTACTTACCTCTAAATTATGAGGTAAGCAAACATTGATAGTTATTATTACTATAATTAGAATAGTAATAAAACAGTTTGCACTAAAAATCATAGACTTAATGTGGGATAATTTACACTAACATTTGTTTCTATATATTATGCTTCAGCACCACTGAAGACAAGACAAAAACCTCTATAATGTCAATACCATGTGAGAGAAACATCTACTCTATTATTGGCAACTTCATTTCTTAGTTTTCTTGCTTATAGAAAATGATGATAGGAGGAATTAACATAAATGTATATTGTAATGTGTTTCTCTAAGTGTGTAAAGCCTTATTTTAATGATAACTCACTGCCGTAAGTTTTCCAATAGCTACAGAGGTGACAACACTTTAAAGGTCATATGCAACTGTCTTGAAAATGAATTACATTTCTTTCAAACAGAAAAAATACATTTTTGCTCGTGGCCTCCATTTGGTACACGGGGGAGACATCTCCCGTCATGCAGGGTGCAGTCGCACCTCCACCGATCTCCAGTATTAGCTCTTCATACTGGTAATGGCTCAAAAGGGCCACCACTTACGGGCTATTCATGCCCGTGCCACATTTTGGGTGGCTTAATCTTCATCAATCAATCAATCATTTTTGCTGCATTGATGAGGAGTGTGACTGATGAGAAGAGTGGGGAAGGGTGAGACAGAGATGCTCACATTAAGTAAACTACACCTAAATGACACCGAGAGAGGAACAGATAGTGTCAACAAACAATTGAGGCTAGAGACATGCTATCTGGATCATAATTAACAATTACTAAACACAAAAGGGCCATAATTAATACCTGTGGTACAATAGTATAGTATATTATCTCATAGGAAAGAGCAAAATATACGGCCTATTTTGATCAAATTTAGTTGCCTCTGGCATCAATCTATCTGGCTGGCTCTGAGAAATTTCAAAGATCAAAAAATAAAATAAAAAAAAATGACAAAAAATATAACAATTGGTGTGGAAATGTACCTCTGGTCAAAATCTATTATCATCATAAACACAATGATGGGAAAGATGAATCTTGATATCACACCCTAAAGGAAATATAACTAATGACTTCATATGACTTTTCAAGTGTAGTTATACACTAATTTGCTTGTAATGTAGTTATTAACCATGTAGAATTTGTATTAACTAATAACTTAAAATTAAAGAGTCAACTGATATTTAAATAAAGTGATAAGCCATGCAAATTTTTGTTTAGTAGTTGAACTTTTATCTCCAAAGATCCATGTTAGACACTAGAAACAAGTTTACCACGAAATAATACCATGCAAGTTTCTTAATTGTGACTGATACAGACACAATGACAAATGCCTAGAACCTTAGTGTAACTGTCATTGGCTCAAGTCTCATCTTAGTAGCATTTAATAAAATAGTCTCGTGTATGTTGCATTTGAACAAACATCTGTTTACGAAGTGCTTAATGACAAAAGTCTAAAATAATATCTCGGTGTTGTCTCTTTATCAGCTTAGCATACCGCTGGTGTTCTTTTGATAATGAATCTTCTATAAAGTTCAATTATTCAACCTGTTCTCGCACTTTCGTACAGTCAGTATTGACTTATTAAATAAGTGCATATGTGACATACTAATTTATTGTGAATATTTTAGTTTACCTTGAAAAGCTTCATAGAAAACACCGACCTTACCTAATCTTCTTAGTATGTTAAGATAAGCATCTTATTGCTTCTTAATTACAATTATTACTTAACCTATTATAGGTATAGGTTAAGTAATAATTTTAATTACGAAGCAATAAGATGCTTAACTTAACATACTAAGAAGGTTAGGTAAGGTCGGTGTTTTCTATGAAGCTTTTCAAGGTAAACTAAAATATTCACAATAAATTAGTATGTCACATATGCACTTATTTAATAAGTCAATATTGACTGTACGAAAGTGCGAGAACGGGTTGAATTATTGGCAGTTATTCATTATTTTCCCTTCCATAATGATGGTCTTCCAAGAGCATATAACTTAAATATATATGTTAATCAAATTGCATTGTTTCAGTAGATAATTTTAAACAAACACTAATGGTTTTGGTAGTTTTAATACTTTCTGATATAGGGATAGTGTTAGTAATGCTTCCAAAAGATTTTGCTATAGTCACCATATAACGATTTCTAATAATTTTAAAATAAAGTATGCAGATAAGTGATCAAATTGCAAATGAAGAAATATCAATAATAGTTAAGGGATAGTTTGATAATGGACCATTACTGAGAAAGCGTCCCCCTCAGTGGGTGCTTGAGCCTTGGCTCAAGCACCCCACCAGGACCTGGGACCATATTCACGAAGCAGTTACGCAAGCACTTACGAACCTGTACATCTTTTCTCAATCTTTGGCGGCTTTGTTTAAAATTATTATCAGTTAATGAGCTCTGAAGCACCAGGAGGCTGTTTATAACAATACCTACAGTTGATTGGGAAGTTTTCATGCTTGTAAACTGTTTAATAAATGTAACCAAAGCTGTCAAAGATTGTAGAAAAATGTACACGTTCGTAAGTACTGTACAGTACTTGCGTAACTGCTTCGTGAATCTGGCCCATGGAGTCACGGGTACCTACCAGGGCCCAGAATCTGGCCTCCTTCAAGGGAATCAGTAATACTAGATCATTCCAGGCCTAAGAAAATAAAACACCAGAAAGATAGTGCCCCAAAAAATGAGGTGCTTTAAGAACATAGGCAATTACATGAACTATTGCATTGGGTCCTAAATGCCATGCAGTTGGCATATTTATTGCTCATCATTTTGGCATTAATGATGGAAGTTTGAATTGTTTACAGTACTGGTACTTTATTAGATCTTTTTATTCTGACTAATAAAGATGTCATGAAGGTGAAAGAGACTCAATATATGTCTAAGTACTCTATATTAAAAATCAAATTTTAAGATGCAACCTACACCCATCATCAAGGTACTGTATACAATGTCCAGCAGAACATTGTACTGTATACAGTACTTTGAGAAAGGTTGTATGTAGGTTACATACAAAAATTTGTTTTTTAATATACTTACACAGTATTGGGCTTTTCCTTCACCTTCATTCAAGCACTACAGTATTGTAGCAAGTTTCTCCAAAGATGTCACGTTTGAGAGCCGGGATGTGTCCGGTAGGCACGTTAATCTTAGCAGAGTGAACAAGATAGAACCAATTAACACAAAATAGAGGATTGTTTCACAGATCCTAAACTTGTAAAATTAATATTGGACTGCATTGATGGTTATTAGGCCTCACGCCAAGCACCAGAATGTTAACATTCAAGGTTCAAAGGTAAGTGAATTATAAATTTTCTAACCTAGTGGAGTATGGAATAATAAAACAAATAACTTACCAAATACTTGTATAATCAATTCTTTGATCAAAAATAGTGTCTGCCACACAGGGCAAATGCATAACAACGAGACGATCACATGGCCTTAAAGGAAATACAACGTGGATATGATCAATAGTTCTCCATATTATATACTTTAAACAGAACGTGTGGTAATAATAAATAGTGTCATTCAGCCAGGCTCTAGGCAAGAGTACCATAATATATGCCCATATATATATATTGAACTCTATAAATAATTAAGAAAATACCCAGCTGAGACAAGGAGTTCCTCATTAAAGGAAAATTTATATGATAATCAAGCTTAATGCACTTATAGACTGAATGATTCCATACAATGTTTTTCTAACCCATGACCAACAGCTAACAAATAAAATTTAAAATTCTTGAAAACTCTCGATTCATACATAACAGTAATGAAAATGACAAAAAAAAAGCACATGAATATGAAATACTAAGAACATGTTTACATCAATGCACTTGTTGCCTAGATCCTTATTGCCCCCAAGACAAGTAGCATGAGCTTGCCTAACAATCCCTATGTCGGTGGCTGCGCTGGTAACTGATGGACGTCCTTAGTCATGCATGTCGTCGTCAAGTGTCTCGCTACCTTTATAAAGTCCGCCAAGGGAACGAGCGATAGAAACACTTGCCATAATAATAAAGATAAGTCATGCACTCCGATGTTCAATCCAGCTATTAACATCACATTTATGTAAAAATTCAATTTTAAATTATCAAAGGATGAAAAAAAAAAACGTTTCCTCAATTGTAACATGCTAACTAATGGTGTTAATTTGACGTTAACTATCACTTACCAGCGTTGACACAGTGTTAACAGCCGCAGAAAGAGGACTAGGCTTACAAAAGTAGAAACAGTAGATCACACATAAAAATCACTTCTGAAGAGAAAGTAGAGATAAGGATCACCCAAAATAAATGGAAACTTTCAAATCACTTCAATATTAAATCCAAAATTACTGCATGGGTTTTCATAAGTAATGATAAAGTTCATTTCCATTAGAAACACCATAGAGAAAAAACTCCCAACAAAGAAAGAAAAACTACCAATTGTGTAAAAAAAACTTAACCACACATGCCCTCACAATTTGATATCTCCCAAGAAACACTGGGCTCTTCCAAGAGGAAACCCCCATTTTCTGACAATTAGATAAATTGCCCCGTACAAAGACCATTCATTACTGACGATGAGAATATCGTCAAATTACAGCAAATGCGATGGAACTGTTAGAAGCACCTAAAGTGTTACCACCCAAGCTTCCTTTTTCCCTTCATTTTAATATTGCATAAATTGCTAAAAATATCAACAATTTTAAACACTTTAAATGTGCTGGAACTTGTGTGTGGTTGCCTTTTGAAGTTAAAATTATTCTTTGGCCTTATAACTTAAAACAAATAGGAAAAAAATCACCTGGGAAGTAGCCAGGTTATCTGTATAGCTACTTTTCAAGCAGGAACTGGATATATTACTGATTTTTAAGCATTTCATACAGCCATAACAATTACGATCATCTTTGAAATGAACTAGAATTTATTGCAAGCATTATAAGCATTTTCTAATGCTGCTCATTTCTTTTAAGAAATATGCATTCCTACCCAGTGGAATGATACTTTCACAGAGAAGTAAGTCTTCATTCTCTCCACTGGACCTTACTAGCCACTTATTTTCTGCTTCAAGTGTCTCAATAATCACTTTCAGTTTTCACAAAGCTGGTTATTTGTTTTGTGACACCACGAAGCTGTACACACTCTGACCCTCGACCAATGGCAGTTGTGTCCAGAGTAGGGATGTTGATTCACATATCACCAAGCATTATATCATTGCAAACACCACAGCAACATCCACTAACAAGTCCTGCCAGAGAAGGCTAATCTGTGTGGCCTGAAATCGTGTGTTTCATGCCCATTAACAGGCGTAGGCCATCGTTACAAACAGAACCGTATTCTTGCAGTTTTTCTTAGCCCTGGTTTGTGTGATCCACAAACCTAGAAAGAAGCTTGACAGCCTAATTATTCTCATCATTAGAGCCTTTTGCTTGTCTCCTAATGAGAGCCTTTGCAATCTCAGTCCTGAGGGCATCATGCTGCTTTTGGTCTGGGAGGGGCTGGACAGAGCGGAGTCCATTAACAATGTCCTTTGTCTTGCCAAAGTAGATCTCATTAAGCGTGTTGCGGATCTTGTTCTCCATGTCTTCCACCATACGGCCAATATTCGCAATGTGTGGAGATGACTCGGAAACGGGGCAGTCTTGTTCCATCTGTTGGAATGATGAAGTCGTAATAAAACCATTTAATATGCCACAAATGTTTCTGTATCTAAATCTTACATTCTTCAGTATAATGTATGCTATTAAAGTAACATCTGAAACTAAATTGTATTAAAATTAGGACATTGTATAACTACAAAGCTTGAAAATGTTAGCAAATTTGTCCACTAGACTGAATTGTAATAGTCAATATTTTGAATTGTCATCCATTTATTTAAAATAACTACTACAGATCCAACTTTAACATTTAATTCTGCTGTTAATTTATGAAATGAAGCAACATTCAATTAATGTTTCTGCCCAAAAACGCTATGCATGCTAGTGGCTTTACAAGAATGTAAAAACATCAATGCTATGTACTTTCATCAACCCAATGTACTTTCTTGTATATACTGTATATAAATAAATAAATTAATTAATTAAGTGAAAATAGTAATAATCATGTTAGATTTCCAATACTGTACTAAAGTCTACAGAGAAAAAATGGAAGTCATTTTGAGCTGTTTGATGTGATGATGTTTGTATATATTTTAGACAGCAGTGTTAAGTTGTATGAAAAGGAAACATATGCCAAGCTATATATTAACACCGGTAAGTAATGGTTGACATTGCACTCTGATATATAATTTCAATCTATATAAATAAAAATGTAAATGTTCGTTTGTTCAAAATAGCTAATCTTCGAAAGTTCTGCACCGATTGTTTTGAAATCTTTACACAACGTTCCATTCGCATCCAAGCGGGCTTTTATATGCATATATTATAGATGTCACGTCTGTGATGAGAGAAAAACATGCTTTTTTGAAAAACTGTTTTTCATGTGAAGGAAACCTTTGAAACCTTTTTACCGATTGCTTTGAAATTTTGACACAACGTTGCATTCGAATTGGCGCGTGTGTTTATATACCTACTACTGTATACATGCTTCACCTGTGACAGGAAAAAACATGCTTTTTTTGTTTTTAAATCAGTGCCATCTGTTGGACGTAAGAGCAACACACGCTGTAATCTCCGAAAGTTCTCCACTGATTGCTTTGAAATTTTGACACAACGTTCCATTCGAATACACGCGTGTTTTTATATACCTACTATATAGATGGCACACCTGTGAAAGGTAAAAACATGTTTTATTTGAAAAACAGCACCATCTATTGCACGTAATAGCAACACACTATACTAAATATGTTACGATTCCATTTCAGTGTTTCCAATTGAATTGATAAATTTAATTTCCACAGATTTTGATTTACCTGTATTTTCATTTTGATTTCATTATTTTGTGTGACATTGCATTGAAATTGAGCTGTGTTGTTTACCATACCGTTCATTTCGTAAGTATAAGATGCCACACCTGTGACAGGTAAAAGCATTTTTTTTTTTTTAAGAAACAGCACCATCTGTTGCACGTAGGAGCAGCACACGCTACACTAAATATGTTTAGATTCCATTTCAATGTTTCCAATTGCATTGACAAATTGAATTTCCATAGATTTTGATTTATTTTTATTTTTATTTAATTATTTTGAGTGACATTACATTGGAACTGAGCTGTGTTGTTTACCATACTGTTCATTTCGTGAGCAAAAGTATGGATGCCACACATGTGACAGGTAAAAACATGCTTTTTTGAAAAATAGCACCAACTGTTGCACGTAAGAGCAACAGACGCTATACTAAATATGTTACGATTCCATTTCATTGTTTCCGATTTTATTGATAAATTGAATTTTCATAGATTTAAATTTATTTTAAATTTTGATTTAATTATTTTGTGTGACATTGCTTTGGAATTGAGCTGTGTTGTTTACCATACTGTTCATTTTGTGAAAACCGTTTATTTATTTCATTGTTTTTATTTTTTTTTTTAACTTTTTCTTATACTGTATTTCAATGATGAGAATATCAGATCATATGATGTTCCCAATTTTCTGACGGGAGCATCAGATCATTTGGGAATGCATCAGACGAGGGAGTGGGGAATAGTGGGGAGGACGAGGGGACAGGAGTGGGGGATGGAGGGGAGGACGAGGGGACAGGGAAGGGGGTAATGGTGGGGAGGACGAGGGGACAGGGGAATGGAGAATGGTGGGTAGGACAAAGGGACCGGGGAGTGGAGGGTGGTGGGGAGGATGAGGGAATGGGGAATGGTAGGGGGGACGGGGGAGTGGGAGATGATGGGGAGGACGAGGGGATGGTAGAGTGGTTAGGAGGACGAAGGGATGGAGGATGGTGGGGAGGACAAAGGGATAGGGGAGGGGGAGGGGGAATGGTGGGGGAGGATGAGGGGATAGGGGAGTGGGGAATGGTTAGGAGGATGAGGGGATGGGAGAGGGGGGAAATGGTGGGGAGGACTGAGAGACAGGGAAAGGTTGCTGTGGCTCAGCAACGCATGGCATGGTACAGCTAGTTAAACAATATAATTCTAGATTAAAGAAACATTATTACCAAAACAAACTATCATGTTTGTAATACTATATAGCCAACATTTTGTTCAAATTTACAATGTGGCTAATTTTCCTAAAAGTACACAGTGCTAGTACACACCAGATGAATCACCATATTTGTAGGCCACGAACCACGGTTAACAAATTCATATAGATTTTGTTTATTTACACATCACTTTTAAATGAACGGGTAGCTGCAGGTGCATGCATTGTGCCGGTGCTCTCCAAGAAAGTAGGACACAGAAACACACACGATCAAGACACAGAACATTGTTAATAAGTGACTATGAGAGTGTGGAGGATATCTTGAGATATCTTGAGATGATTTCGGGGCTTTAGTGTCCCCGCGGCCCGGTCCTCGACCAGGCCTCCACCCCCAGGAAGCAGCCCGTGACAGCTGACTAACACCCAGATACCTAATTTGCTGCTAGGTAACAGGGGCATAGGGTGAAAGAAACTCTGCCCATTGTTTCTCGCCGGCGCCTGGGATCGAACCCAGGACCACAGGATCACAAGTCCCGCGTGCTGTCCGCTCGGCCGACCGGCTCCCCAGCGTTAAATTTTATATCACCGAACTCGCAATAAAATTCTCTACACAGACATATGCATATAAATGTAGAATCATGATTGCGGCCAACACAAGAGTGTGTGAAGTGGGCGATTACCCTAGTTGTGTGACCAACTCAATAGTCTCTCCTCTAAGTTACAATACAATGTCGTTTTCTCAAATAGGCACTGTGCCTATTAGGGAAAACGGAAATTTAATGGCAAACATTCATACAAATCCCAAGTCGATCGAGTAGTATATACCCACTATAACACGGACCGTGTGATATTACCTTGTCAACTACCCAAGCACAGTCATAGAAAATAGTATTTGTGTATAAAGGGAATTAAGTGAATGATAGTGATTAAACTACTGTATGACATTCGGTAAGAAATCACGTCACAGGCAACCAGGAACACTTTTGGGATACTGGGATCAGTTTACAAGCAAAGCGTTACAGTACACCTGGTACAATACTCTGGCCTACCGCAATTCGTTCTTCAGTCGAATTATCTTTGGTCACCGAGCAAAGCATTTGACCCAACTTGTTGCACTTGAAAAACACACGAGTGCATACTTGTACTTCAGACCATTTGCACTCACATCCTATCTATAATGCCCAAAACACTTTGAATACTAGTGGCTTTATTAAATATGCATTTTATGTAATGGCTATTCAACCACTGTACTCCATTGTTCGGTATAACTTTGTAATACAAAATTATATTATAATTACTATTACCAGTTTTACAAGGTAAGCTGCCCGGTACCAAGTTCAGTTCAATGTCTGCCAGCAGTTCTCGCTCTATCCATCCTCTTGCATGTTCATTTTTATTTTATAATTACTGTACCTACATGCTCTACTGAACATCTACAATGCCCACCATGTCTCCACTGATGCTGAGAAGCATCATGAACCACCACACCATTATCATAATCACTCCATGTATAATTTAAAATCTCAAAACTGTATAATGCTGTGTATGTGTGTGCATAAAATTTTTCATTTCAGCTGCTCTACGTTATTCAATTTGAAATTATATGTGCACAGCCATCTCACTTGGACATCAGACCCTCTCACCCCTCCATTACACAGCAAACTGAGTATCCACATGTCCCTGGACCCAACGACTCCCCACCTGGATTCCTCCCAGGACGGGGAATCCAGGAGGAATCCAAGTAGGAGGGAGTTAGTAGGCATCCATCAGTCTCAGGAGACTATGGAGTTGTGCACTGGGTTGTTGGTCTGGAGTGGCCAATGGGAGGAATCCATTTGGGGTGTACACCAGGAGTCATGAATATTTGCATTTTTTTGCATTCATTGTTTTATAAAAAAAATTTTTTATATTTTTTGGTTCACAAGTAGTGGCACTGATGACAGCTGCATGCCAAGAGTTAAAATTAATTCTTACTTAATCTTAAGAGAGATGCCTAATGCACTGACCTGTCTGGTAAGTGAGCCGCCTAGGTTCATGGTGCCAGATCCCTGTTTATTAGTTTGTAGCCACAACATCGCAGTAGAAGTGAGCTTGTAGTGCGCCGAACGTCCACTGGATTTCTCTACTACCTCAACAACATGGATACTATCCCAGCAACCTTTAATTTTCTTACTACCATCACCAGCTTTTTTTATGAGAATTACACCTGTGTAAAAATAAAAAGTTAGTTGTATCAGTTAAAACATTCAATACTGTCAAAATTGGAAAGACAATTCTAATTCAACATGCAAATTGTTTTCTATATATATATACACTTGAGATTTCCAAATACTTTCCTTCAGACTTTAGAAACAACTACATACAGAAGCTTCCCCAAAATATCAGTCCCTGGCTAATACACATTATCTACTGTAGCATGCAATGTGGTGCTACACTGTGGATACTGTCAACCTTCGCTGACTGTGCCAGATCACTGTGACCCCTCTCACACTTCTCATTCATACACTCACCGTGACCCATCTCACGGTTCTAACTCATACACTCACCTGTCTCACTCATACACTCATCTGTGAGTACATGTCTCACAGTACTCATTCATACACTCACTGTGACCCCTCTCATAGTTCTCACTCATCACTTACTGTGGCATCATAGTTTCATCCAGTGCACCTATAACAAATATGGAGCCATTTTACAATCTTGCTGTCAATTTAGATAGAACCCCTTTACCTGGTAACCCCCCCCCCCACCAGCCTTTACACACACAAGAGTTCCTTCATAGAGTGCCCCTAAAATAATTCTGATCCAGTATGAATATAACATTGAAATGATCATAATTGGGAGCATCATAAATTAAAAAAATCCAGTTTCTACTTACACTTTACATGTACTGTATAAACAACCACTTACTGCACTGTAGAAGCAACACTTATATGGACCAAATAAGCAACAATGATACAGGTATTTATTAATATGTATGTATATTAATTGTGAGCTGGGAATCATGGGAACGTTACCTGCAAACCCATGGTCTAGGTCCCAAAGATATACAGAAGAAACGCCACCTTCAAAGTACATATCACGGTATTGATCAAACGCCTGATTTGCATCTAATTCTAATTTACGTAGCCTGTCGCTGGGCATAGCTCCATCTTCTAAAGGCGGGTCATAGGTGTTGCTCCACGGTGACCTGGAAAGAGAGAAAATTGATTTAAAATAACAAAATAAGAAAATTATGCAATACAGTATAATGGTTATCTTGAGGTTATCTTCAGATGATTTCGAGTCTTTTTAGTGTCCCCGCGGCCCGGTCCTCGACCAGGTCTCTATCCCCAGGAAGCAGCCCGTGACAGCTGACTAACACCCAGGTACCTATTTTACTGCTAGGTAACAGGGGCATAGGGTGAAAGAAACTCTGCCCATTGTTTCTCGCCGGCGCCTGGGATTGAACCCAGGACCACAGGATCACAAGTCCAGCATGCTGTTCGCTCGGCTCCCTGGTGGTGCTCATATCACACACACACATACAGAAGATAAGATTTTTATTTACTCCCATACAGGATGAAACAAATGAAAGTGAGTGGTGCTCAATGTGTAAAGCAAATGGCAGTTATCTTGAGATGAATTCGGGGCTTTAGTGTCCCCGCGGCTCGGTCCTCGACCAGGCCTCCACCCCCAGGAAGCAGCCCGTTACAGCTGACTATCTCCCAGGTACTGTACTTATTTACTGCTAGGTAACAGGGGCATCAGGATGAAAGAAACTCTGCCCATCGTTTCTCGCCGGCACCGGGATCGAACCCAGGATCACGCATCCAGTGTTCTGTCCGCTCAGCCACCGGCTCCCCTGTTAATGCACCCTTTTTATGCTCCCTTTAAATATAATAATGTAATCCTGTGAGAATGTAGATACGCCGATTGAAGATAGTAAGACAGTTTCAACAAATTTACCTATAGGAATCCCCATCTCTGTTGTAGTCACAAAGTAGGTAATCTTTTCCACTGTTCTTGTCTCGTGCTATCTTAAGAGGCTGATCAACAGATGACAAAAGTTCTTCACACAATGATGGCACCAAATCAATTAAGTCACTCAGGTTACGCTCTATTTGCTGAGGAGGCAGCCTGCGCATCAGGTCAAGCGCACAGTCTAACTGCTGCTCCATCTGAAACAAAAAATATATACATTAATACAGTAAAGTACAACGTATGCTTTGACAAGCACCTGAACATTAAAGATATAAAGATCATAAATATTCGTAACAGATAAAACATTTTGTCATGATGTCAAACAAATTTATCCTTTATCTGAGGTCAAGTAAAAAAAATAATAAGCCTTTAGTTTATAAAAATAGCATTTCTAAGCAGATTATGAACCGTAAGGCAGGATAACAGAGCACAGGACGCTTTTCAAACATCCTTTTAGGGTCATAACCTGTTTAGATAAATAGAGATTTTATGATCTAGTCAAGAAAGACCAACAGTGGAGCTGCTCAGAAATTCAAGCTTTACAAAACTTCCTTTCCCTAACATCACTGGGGGGACTGCCAAAGCTTCTAGTTAACTACTAATTGCCTAATTATAGTTAGTATAACTATTTATATGCCTAAATAGTATAACTATTTACTTAACTGTATTACCTATTTACTGCAAGGTGAACAGAGGCATTAAGTGAAAAGAATGTGCCCAACCGAATGCGAGTCGAGAACAAACCCGACCGTACTACCGAGACCTCCCCCCCCCACGACACCCCTATGCAACATGATTCTTAACACTTTGGCCAGGCCAACGGGCCACCCGCATTGCACTGCAAGGTAGGCCGTGCATTGCTGGCGAGCACACAACTCAATGTTAAACTCTTTCACTCACAATGTTTATACGTAATAATAAGAATAAGCAAAGATGAATATACAATATGACGGCGTTGGCGTCATGCCCCGAACTGCACGCATTGTTTTGATGACTCCGAGAGCGTCATCATCATCCAGCGAAAGTGTTAAGACACCGTGGAGAGTTGTTGTATTGTGTTTCTGGCTCAATGGATACAGTAACTTAATCCTTGACATGTAGTGTAGGGTTCAGGGCAAAATGTACAACCCACGATTAGCCTAGACTCAGTTCACTGACATTATTGGTTTATTTTTGCCTCACACCAATATATAGTGGGACAGCATCATTTTAGGGCATGTCAAAGAACTTAAGAGGCTGGTTATGAATACCTGCATCTTTCTACAAGTATGAACATAGCCGACAATACAGATGAAGATGAACTAGAATGCATTGTCACTACAGTATATTAACAGATGCCTCATTGCTAGATAACTTATTTCTTTACTGATTTGACTTAATAACAAGACTTTCTTTACATACAGTAAAGATACAAGTCTCCAAGCACGTAACATAGCTTATTGCTCTTCAGACAGTATTAAAAAGGAGAAACACAATAGTTCCTTTACGTAAACATTGCTAGTATGAGAATAAACACTATTACGCTTTGCCCGAAACGCTATGCGTACTAGTGGCTTTAGGTATTGTATGTACTACCTCTATCTTTAAATCTAACAGAATGTTTGTACTGTAACGCTGCAACTATGTATGTACTGTTCCTAAATAAATTATTATTATTATAATAATAAGAAGAGATGTTTATCTATCAAGTTAAACCCTGTGCCGCCATGTCATGCTACACAATGAGAAAGCAATGAACTATGACAACCTAGGACAGGTCCCAGCACCTGTAAACTGTAGACCAAAGAGCAGAATCCAGCCACAAAACCTGTATGCTCGGTGAGTACTTTTCAACATGTAACCTTAATGCCCGATTTAATAGCTCCCAGGGACTAATACACTGTATTTGGCTATGATTGATTAGATCAATTTATTGGTAAAAGTAATTTTTATTTCTAGTAGCAAAGAGAATCTGTTAGAATTACTGCACCAAGTTTCACCAACAAACACCTTTTTATTTTCCTTAATTACATCTGTTTGCACCATTTTCAGGTCACACACACATTATGTTGTATTTAGTTATAGTGTTAAGTAATTCTATATCCAAGTACAGTTCAGTATTACACAAGTCGGCTTAAAAGTAGATGATAGGCACTGGCCGGTGGCTCAACCCAAAATATAACAAACAAAACTGTCTACTTCACATTAATCTAATAACTAGTATCACACAACTTTGAATTCACCGTTTTAACATATAGCATATCAGATTGTGAGTTACAATGGCAATGTCTTGAACTAACGTTATTAAGACGGGAGTAGATGACCTGTGGAGGGAAGCAGAAGGCAAGCAAGAGTGTCAGACGTGCCCCTGGGCACCCTCAGGCGACCCCTGGAGGTCACACCAGAGAGAAACTTGCAGGCCACCTGTCTCTTCCAACACCACAACCCTGCAACAAATGCCATCAGCTGCTAGTCTAAACTACCTAATAGTGCCCCCCTCAACCATCTGGTTGTTGGAGGGTGATCCTTTTGACTGTTGTGGGTGGTGGTATGGTATACCTGAGAGGTGTAGGGGGGTGGGGTGGGGCTCACGTCTGGTGACCCAGTTGTGGCTCCTCTGGCTCTCCTCTACCTCAACCAACTCTTCAATACCAGCCCCAACTAGCCCTACCTAGCCACTCAGCCCCAACTCTGGCCTAGCTAGGCGAGTGAGGAGTCCACCCTCAAGTGGGTCAAGTTACTACTCGAGGCTGATATATTGGGTAAAAGGAGTGAATCACTTTGCTGGGGATGGGCGTACTCTTGGCCTTCACCAGACACCCGTTCCCCTCAGCCCTTATAACAGCCGTGTGCCCCGTATTTCCAGCCCCCGCGGCCACAGTTGCCCCTCCCCGCCACACACACTCACACACTTACCATGATACTCGCCTATCACAGCTAACTTGAAACTAAAAATAAGAATATCTTCCCCGTCGGGCGGCTGCTATCGGCTTGGAGTATCACTGTTCAGCCGAGCCTCTCTTGCCTCTCTCCTCCTGCCTCTCTCTCCTCTACCGCATCAAATATCTCACCACTGTTATATTTAGATTGTTATTACTATTATGGTTTGAGTGTGAGGTGTGTTGTGAGTTATAATAAGGGGAGGGTGAGTGGAGGAGTAGTATAGTTCCTCGCTTGAGGGTGGAGTGGGTCACGTGACGTATACTTCCGGAGTGTTTTGGTTCAGTCTGCAAGTTGTTGTTATTGGCCCGAGTGGTCCCTCTCGTGGTCCCCAGTGGTCTCCCTCGTGGTCCCCGGTGGTCTCTCGTGGTCCCCAGTGGTCCTCGGTGGTTGGTGGAGGCCCTGGGCCACACCACGGCAGTGTGAGGCGGCCGCCACACGCGTCAACACCTTTGAGCCAACACCAACGTGTTGAGCCACTGAGCAGGACGGGTGCTGTGTTGCACTGTGCTATGCTCTCGTGTGCTGTGTTGTGTTAAGACTTGTGCTGTGCTGTGCTGTGTGGGGGGATGTCGACACTAACTGCCAGTAGCCAGGTGGCCATGGGCGAGCCAGCTGAGATCAGAGTCAAGATAGCCTACAGTGGGTAAGTTGACCGGTCTTGCCACCTGTCACTTGCTAATACACCTTAATTAATACACCTTCGTACAGTTAAAGATGTCAACATTAGTCTCGGCTGCTAGCTCAGTTATAAACCCATGTACGCCTCATGGCTGAGTGGGCAGCACTCTGGGGTCATAGTCCTAAGGCTATCTTGGTCTGGGGTCATTCGATCCATGGCAGAGGCAGAAACAAATGGGTAGACTTTCTTCCATCCTGATGCCACTGCTCACCTAGCAGTAAATAGGCACCTGGGAGTTAGACAGCTGCTACAGGCTGCTTTCTGGGTGTGTCTGTGTGTGTGTGTTTACTATTTGTATCTGCAGAATCGAGCTATTAAATCTTGGTCCCCCACCTTTCTAAGCAATTTATTTTTCCTCTATAATATATATTTCTCTCTTAACACATGTACGCCCCCAGAAAGCAGCCCGTAATAACTGTCTAACTCCCAGGTACCTATTTACTGCTAGGTGAACAGGTGCATCAGGGTGAAAGAAACTGCCCATTTGTTTCTGCCTCTACCAGGGATTGAATCCAGGCCCTTAGGACTACAACCCCCTGAGCGCCGTCTACTCAGCTGTGAGGGCCTCAAACTAGCGTGTGTTAGAGATAAATGTGTGTAGTTGACTTGGAGGATAAATTGGTTACAAAGGCAGGGGGGTCCAAGAGCTAATAGCTCTATTTTGCAGACACATATTATAAATACAGTACTATATACGGACTGACTTGGATATCACGGTAGTCATGCACAAAATACAGTGTTTCCCAACCACTTGGACTAGTCATTAGATCGACAGCTTTACTTCCTGTTAGGGTCAGCGTTCAGTCACTGATGGTCCTAGTGGATAGGCACTGTTCCTTCACTGTCCATATAGCCGTGCTACTTGTCCTCATGTCCCTTCCAAGTGCTGTATAGTTTTTTTTTTTTTTTTGAGATATATACAAGAGTAGTTACATTCTTGTATAGCCACTAGTACGTGTAGCGTTTTGGGCAGGTCCCTGGAATACGATCCCCTGCCGCGAAGAATCGTTTTTTCATCCAAGTACACATTTTACTGTTGCGTTAAACATAGGCTACAGTTAAGGAATTGCGCCCAGTAAATCCTCCCCGGCCAGGATACGAACCCATGACATAGCGCTCGCGGAACGCCAGGCGAGTGTCTTACCACTACACCACGGAGACTGTCAAAGTTGTTGTTGTTGTTTTAGATTCAGCTACTTAGAACAAAAGTTCAAAAGTAGCACGGGCTATGGCGAGCCCGTAGTGGACTTACCTGGCACAGGAGCGGGGCAAGTAGCACGGGCTATGGCGAGCCCATAGTGGACTTACCTGGCACAAGAGCGGAGCAAGTAGCACGGGCTATGGTGAGCCCATTGTGGACTTACCTGGCACAGGAGCAGTGCAAGTAGCACGGGCTACCTTACCTTACCTTGAGGTGCTTCTGGGGCTTAGCGTCCCCGCGGCCCGGTCGTCGACCAGGCCTCCTGGTTGCCGGACTGATCAACCAGGCTGTTGGACGCGGCTGCTCGCAGCCTAACGTATGAGTCACAGCCTGGTTGATCAGGTATCCTTTGGAGGTGCTTATCCAGTTCTCTCTTGAACACTGTGAGGGGTCGGCCAGTCATGCCCCTTATGTGTAGTGGAAGCGTGTTGAACAGTCTCGGACCTCTGATGTTGATAGAGTTCTCTCTGAGTACCTGTTGCACCTCTGTTTTTCAACGGGGGTATTCTGCACATCCTGCCATGTCTTCTGGTCTCATGTGATGTTATTTCTGTGTGCAGGTTCGGGACCAGCCCCTCTAATATTTTCCACGTGTAAATTATTATGTACCTCTCCCGCCTGCGCTCAAGGGAGTACAGTTTTAGGCTCTTTAGTTGGTCCCAATAGTTTAGATGTTTTACTGAGTGGATTCTAGCAGTAAAGGATCTCTGCATGCTCTCCAGGTCAGCAATTTCTCCAGCTTTGAAAGGTGCTGTCATTGTACTCAGTACAATGACAGCACCTTTGCAGCAGTACTCCACTCTAGAGAGCACAAGCGTTTTGAAAAGTATCATCATCGGTATAGCATCTCTAGTGTGAAAAGTTCTTGTTATCCAACCTGTCATTTTTCTTGCAGTTGTGACGGCTACTTTATTGTGTTCTTTAAACCTGGACTTGCCTGGCACAGGAGCGGGGCAAGTAGCACGGGCTATGGTGAGCCCGTGGTGGACTTACCTGGCACAGGAGCGGGGCTGTAACTTGACTGGCGCTGTATAACCATACTGGCTTAGCATTTTCTCCCAGTCTGTATAATCACCTAAAGCCACCCAAAGCCTCTTAGAATTACATAAATAAAGACAAAATATACTCACCTAGTTGGTGAATATATGTTTACTATAATCTTGTAGAATGTGAAATTTTTTTTTTACTTGGAAATATCATATTTGCCGCCATGTAAGACGTGCTTTTTTATTTTTAAATGTACAGTACTGTATAAAAAAAAATTGCCCTGAGTCTAATGCGACCGTATTACAGATGTGAGACCGAGCGTCGTAGGCTAGGGAGCCAGACGAGCATACTGGGTAAGTTCGCTAGGCACCAAAAGTCGTTGCTAATAATAAAATACTGAAAACAGAGTTATCACAGTCTGTTACCACAAACTTAGGAAAAATTGCATACGATGTACGTTGGTAGTTATGAAAGAAGCTCACATCATCTCACCACCTTACCCAGCATACATAACCCACACTTGATAAGTCATGCCCGAAACACTTTGCGTAATAGTGGCTTTAGGCATTGTATACACTAGCTCTATCTACAAATTCATCAATTTTTGTATCACCCCTTGTATGTATGTATTTTACCTAAATAAACATTTGAATTTGAATTTTTTTGAATGCATTATTTAATGACTTTGTTACCTCTAAGAAACATTTATTCATTATCTAAATAAATAATGCTCCTAGAAATTTGAAAGGAATGTTAAACTTTCATCCGCCTGTCAGCTATTTGCAATGAGTGAATGACAACAAAAGCAGAGCGCCACGACCGGGTGTGCTGCCCTGGTGGCTGGTCGACGTAACACAAAACATCGCATCCAGAAATACAAGCTTCACATCCTGTATAGCAATTCGCTTGCCCAAAATATAAACACAGTTGATTTAGAGGCGGTGAGAGTTGGGCTACAAAATCCACTTCAAAATATATTTCAATAAATGTATGATGAAACATACTAAAATAGTTATTTTCCAAAAAATATCCTTCTAAAATTGGAGGGTGTCTTTTATACCAGCAAATACGGTAAGCTCTTTTTTTTTATATGCAAAATACAATATGACCAAAATTAGTGATGGGTGATGCCAAATGTTGTTATTTAACATTTTTGTCAACATTTAGTCAACATAATACAACAACATTTGTTGTTGACAATCAGTGTGTCTTACTGACTTTGATGACCAAACCACAGCTTGGAAGGTGGAGAAGCGACGTCCGTCCAGGACCATCATCAAGGCATGTGATAATGGTCTTATAGATTTAATTTGGCATCTCCCATCATCAGTTTTGTCTTAGTGCATTATAATATAGGTTATTTACAAGTAAAAGTTAAGTTTTTCACATTATACATTCAACACCAAAATTTCAGTAAGCGAATATATGGTAATTTGTTGTTGGGGGGCCAGTTGGAAAGGGTGACACTGAATCGAATCAAAACATAAAGATGGCATCCCCATGCCTGATGGCTTGTTCCTTGAGAACCACTGAGTGTAAAGAACTTGTAGCCCTGTAATGAGGGTGGATGTACTTAACAGCCACTTGGACAGGTTCTTACAAGAAGTGCCAGACCAACCAGGCTGTAGTGGATATGTGGGCTTGCAGGTTACTCCTAGCCTCTGAGCCTGGCCATCAGCACCTGGTGCTGATGCATTTTGTAGGCTTGGAGAGTGTAGGCTGGGCTTGGAGAGTAGAAGACCTCCTGAAACCCTCTCCTGGTATGCTCCAGGTAAGGTAGCATGGTGTGAGCCTTGCCCCAGGCCTGGCTTGGGGAGTAGAAGAATGCCCAAAACCCTCTCTCCAGGTATGCATTGGTGGCATTTTCAGTTGATACTGAAGATTCAGTATGCTGCTGCTTTATGGTACAGTATGTGCAGTTTGCATGAAGGTTTTCTCCTCCCAATGACTGCACAAGTAGTGACGTATCACCATAAATTACTGTACTCAGTTTCGATAGCCGACATATTATTACCAAGTTATTACTTAAGTGTAGTTATAGGTTGAGAGCTACTCTCATGGTGTCCTGTTTTCCGAGTACTCGTTGTCATATGATGCTTTAAAATGGACCTTTCATGGTATGTAGAGGTTATCTTGATGATTTTGGGGCTTAGCGTCCCCACGGCCCAGTCCTCGACCAGGCCTCCTTGCTACACATCCCCAGGAAGCAGCCCATAGCAGCTGTCTAACTCTCAGGTACCTGTTTACTGCTAGGTGA